TGTGAAGCCTTTCCTTTTCAAACACCAGGATCCTGCTGCACTCTGAAGTAGCCTCAGTGGCAGGAGAAGAGCAGTGTGTAATTTGCTGAGCAGCTAATAATGTACAACCCAAGGGTCTGGCCCCAAGGGCAGGGAGCCACTGATCCTGACTTCAAACAGTGTCCTCTGCAGCAGCCCTGATGCTGGGGAATGATTAAGGGTGGGAACAGAACCAAAAGGCTCCAGCTCTTTCTCCCACACTCAAAAGCAGTGCCACGACGGGTGCAAGGGGTGGATTGGGAGATTTTCCTCTGGGTGGAAATGGCAGCAAGTTGTCTTTTCCAGGCTTTCCTCAAAGGAGAGGGGAGCATTTTCCAGGTGTTGATTTAAGGGACTGTAGGCTTGGAGGGGGAAAAGGGGCTGTTAGCACTTTGCAGCTGTGAAAAGAAAGTCACATCTTTCCATCCCTACAACCCTGCCAGGGGTGTACAGGGGATCTGACAGCACAGAGTGAATTTCTTGTGCTGCTGAATGTTGGCATAAAGGCAAAGTGATCATCCCCAGGGCCATACAGGCTCCACAATGAAGGGCAAAGGGCAGTTCCACCTCCCTCCACTACAGCCAAGGATGGCTTGCCACCAGCAGTGGGTAGTGCTGATTTATTCAAGGAGGAGGGAGAATATCTGCTTTTCTTGGAAAGGATTTTCCATTGGACTTGTATACAGGCTCTGCTTAGCCCAAAGGATGTTCTTGAACCCTAGGGCAGTCAAAAGGCTGAGAATGCCTTGTGCTTTGCCCCCTGGCTCTACTCAAAACAAGGTAGAACTCTGGTGGGCTGGGAAAGGGCTGTGGGTCTCTGCTCAGGGTACCAGAAGTGATGAATTCATCCTTTAACCACCAAAACATGCTGCACCCTTGAAAATGCTTTTGGAAGAGCATTGCTGAAGCAATTATTTCTTTCCTTCTTACTGTAAAAACGTTGGCTTTACCCTTCCTATTTAAAAAAACTTTTGACTTTTAGTCATCCCTAAATCCATAATCCCTTGTTTGCACCTAAACAGGTATACAAAGATACAGATGAGAAGAGTTATATGAGATGGGCTAAAAATGCAGGGAAAAGTGTTTCTTAGCCCAAAGGTTTGTCTGCTTTTTCCAATTTTAGCACCCAATCCACAGGAGAAACAGTCCTTTAGTACAAGCCTTATAACCACATGTCATTCAGAAAAGTTTAGCTAAGAATTAAACTAAACATCCAATTTGGCTGCATGTGTAATGAATAAATAAAGCCTTTTCCTTTCATGTACCCGTGCCAAAGTCAACAAGCTCTATTAGCTGATGAAACAATGCTGACGCCAAATAAAAATACCCCTGACCCATCAATATGGGCTGAGAGCTCGGCCCTGCATCAAAGAGTGTTGTCAGAACAAGAAATACTGTCTTGACACCTTTGGGGGGAGAAAAAACTCCCATTCCTGCAGCAAGGTGGGTTCCTCATGCTCTCACTGGGATGTCAAGGAGCAACAAAACCATCCCATAATGACTGTCTGTTATGGACACCTCTCTTTGTTTCTGCTGGCATGATTTGGAAACCCCTTGAGCTGCAAGGAGCTGGGGCTTTGGTGTTTGCTTGCTCCCCACTGCACGCCCCATGCATGAATTCCCCACAAAACCTGAGGGATTTTCATCCTGTCTGCAAAACGCTGATGCTTGGAAGCGAAACTCCCAAAGGTCCCTGCCTGGTATCAAAGAAATGCTTCAGCATCTCAGAGCATCTCAGCACCTGGGAGCAGCCTGCCAGCTGTGCCACCCTCCTCCTCCTCCTGCCCACGAGGGTGGGGAGGTGAAGGAACACCACATCCCCCCTCTGCCCCACCGGGATGTGCAGTTTGGCCATTTCCCAGCTGGGCCTGCCCTGCAAACCCCTCTCCTTTGAAAGCCACATTCAGCTGCTCTGAGCCATGCCCTGCCTCTGATCTTTGAGGTCTCACCCCTCCCTCAACATCCTTGGTTTAAAAGATCTGTTCCCTATTAGTTTTCAGTCACACTTTCAGTTTCATTCAGGCTTTTATTTACTTATCCATCTGTCTTCCTGCTCCCACCTTTCCCCCTGCCCTGCCAGGGGGCAAAGTACAATTCATTTTTCAGGTGACCCAGCCAGGAAGGCATTGGCATGAATAGGAACAGGTTCAGAAACCGTGATAAAAGCAAACCCCTTGACTTTAATAAGCAGCAAAACACTTCCCAATCAGAAGGAAGCAGCCAAATGTGACCAGAATTGCTACAAAACACAAAGGACGTTCCTCCAAATAACTCCTGCCATCTCTTGAAGGCTCCTGGTGCAGAAGTCTTGTGAGCACTGCTGGAGCTGTGGCAGGGCAGTGTGTGATCCCACAGGCTGTGCAGCCTCGCAGGACACTCTCGCTGTCTGACAAGGTCCTGAGTGCCACCAGGACTCTGCTCCTGGCCTGCCCTGCACAGGGACACGGCACAGCTCATCCCTGTCTGGCTGCCTTGAGCACGGAAAGGTGTTTGTGTGTCTTTAGTTTTGATTGCAGCTGTCTGAGCAGGGCAGGAGCCCCGCTGGGCTGCGCTTAATTCTGAGTAACGCGAGTTTAACTGCACGGACAGTCCCCTGCTGGTTTGAAAGACACCTAAGAAAGCAATAGAGTCACCGTAAGAACTTCTCTGCTGGAAAGCCAGGCTCCTGTGAGAACCCACCTGTTACAAGGAAATAATTAAAAACCTGGAGAGAAAGGATAACAGGACACCAAAAGGCACCTGAGCAGGCTGGCAGCGAGGAGCTGCGCTGGGTTTGTGCGAGCTGCTGGCTCTCCCCTCCCAGGGCTTGGAGGCTGTAATGATCCGTGGGCACAGACATCGATTTTTGTCCAGCACTTCCTTAGTGCAGGGGGGGCAGAACTCGGCTCACATCCTCTGCGGGCTCTGCTCCCTCTCCCTGCTCGTCGATAGGTGTCAAGTCACCACCCAGCCCTGGCCATGGAAGGGCCATTTCTTGCTGAGTCCACTTTCCACGGACCATAAGGGGATGCTCAGCAGTAAGTGGCCACATGGCATTCTCGGTGGCAGAGGCAGTGACAAAGTGTCTTGGTGGCCTCCCAGCCCACACCACCCCAGTCCTAAGGCTGGACTGGAGCCTGGATCTCTCCTGCAGCCACCCCCTACTCTGTGCACTGAGTGCTGGCTGGGCTCCTTGCTCACCTCAGCCTGACTGTTCCCTCTCTTCTTCCCTTCTATAACTCTTTAGTCCTCTGGAGAGAACAGCACTGGTGTAAGATGAGGGGAAAAGGGCCATGACTACATTATTTTTTCCCAAATCAATCCCAAAAAAATCTTAAAAACAACTTGCAGTTTATTATTTCTGTTCATAGCTCGATTCTTCACCAGGGAATTGCTCAGGGACATTGCCATGAGTGCTGCTTTCTGTTTTGGGAGGCGAGAGCCGGGCCAGGCTGGGGTGAGGCAGGGACAGGAAGGCAAATCCATGTTTTGCATTTGTGTAGCTCTCATTCACGGCTGTACACGGTGTTTGCAAGTGTTACAGCACATGGCAGGCGTACGCTACAAGGAAATACTGCTGGTGCCCAGAATAGAAAGATTTCAGCTCAGTATTGACTGAATCAAGAGATGCAGGGAGCTGATTGCAGTTTGTGTCTTTTGCTTCTTTGGAGGTCAGTGGAGCTGAAGTCTGGAGCATCCTTAACCAGGGAGGGTTTGCAAAGAGCTGCAGTGAGTGTAGTGGGAAGCAATCTGGTGTTCTCCTTTTAATCCTCCTGCAGTCAGTCAGATAAATGGAAATACAGACTGACCCATCAATAGTTAACGGTTTTATTTGCAACCTTGGGTTTAATCTTTCTTTTCAAATGATCTTTTAAAAGGAAAAGCTGCTACTTATCTGGAATTAGTGGAAATGCCTTCCCTGGTACTAATGAGAGCCCTCAGGCTGGAGGGAACTGGGTAACTACTGGCAGCATGTTCTGATGATCATAAATGTTTGGCACCTCTTGGTGTCACAGGAGCATTTTTCTCTTGGATTTTCAAGAGGTGCCCTGACTGGCTGGGCCCAGAGTGGCAAACTGAGGCATGGGGTAGCACTGGCAATAGAAAATGGGACTCCCTGCACTGATTTAGAGAGGGAACTCCCTTTCTCATTATAATGAAAGAATAACATACTCTTTTAGAAGACACTCCTTGTGTCAGTGGAAACTCAGCCCAGTGGAAACCCTGCCAGCATGGGTTGGCTTGGTGTCTGTCCCTTAAATATGTGCCTGGACTACTCCTGGGGGACCTTTGGGAGGGGGCATTACTGTTTTGCTCTTTGCTTTGACCTCTGAACTCTGTAACAATGTAAAGCCTTGTGAATTATAAATCAAATGTTCCTGCTGAGCTTTGTGGTGCACGGAATGAAATGCAATGATTAATATTTAAGAGAAAATAAGTTAAAGATTTTAACTACAAGGGCAAATGTCTATCCACAGAACCCTTTCATGTGGAGGCTTGAAGAGAGGAAGAAGCACATTTTCAGGGGCTTTAGTGAAGTTTGTGGCTGTCAGACCAACCACCAGAGCTGTGGGTGTGCAGGGGCCAAACTCCCCTGCCCTGCCCTTCATGCTGCCTCCAACTGAGACCATCTGCCCACGTCCTGTAAAATCCCAGCAGTGCTGCAGCAGCCTTTCGGGATGGGACTGGCGAGCACACCCCACACTTTAGCAAGCAGAGGAGCAGCTCAGCAGGGGCAGAGCTTTTCCAAATTCCAGGACTTGCTCAGCCCTCCCTGGCTCCTCCTCGCCCTCCCCTCAGCATGCCAGCCCCATCCCTGCTGCAGGACTGGCACAGCCCCGGGATGGGCAGGGTGCCCTCTTCCTGCTCTGCACACTGGCAGCTCCAGACCACCGTGGCCACCCTGACCCAGAACATCCTTCCAGCAGCACCTGGGCTGGACACTGCCTCCAGCCACCAGCAGAGCCTGTCCTAATCCAGCAAATAAGGGGGGAAACACTTACATGGGTGCAGAACCTCTCCGGAGGGTCCCCACAAGTGATTCCTGCCGGGTCCACCCTCACGGTCACGTAATCCTTCATCCGCATGGCCTTGGGCTGGCAAGCGTAAAACTCCCATGAGGGGCCATCGTCCGTGGTCACCCAGGACTTGCAAATGTCATACTGTCCCATGGCCAGGGGCACGCAGTGCACGAGGAGAGCAGCCAGGTAGAGCATGGCAGCTGCGGCCAAGCGCGGGGTCCCTGGGCGAGGGCAGTGCCGAGAGTCCCGAGGAAGGCAGCTACAGGGCTAGGGGTGGCTCTCGGGATCAGCATGGAAACTCCTCATCTAAAAATGCTCCAGTCGAAGGAGATCCACACAGTAACAGGGATGATCCCACTCCGCACGCTGTACCTGGACGTGGAAAGTTCCTCTTGGCACAGAAGCCAACTTTGCAATTCACTTGATTGGGAAAGTTTTGGCCAGAGTTGCTGATCAGTGGTCAAAAGTCTTCCTTAACCTCATTTTTTCCCCTTTTTATTGTACGAAAGGTCTTCCAAATCAGCATGAAAATATCTAGAGGTGACTCCAGTCAATCAATACGAAGATCAAGTTCTGAGTTGCTGATGAAATTTGATAGGAGTAAATTGGAGAGGCTGTGAGATGGTGCTGGATCAGGTTTTCCTCAACCTTCTGGTCTGCTCCAGATGCGTGGCTGTGGAAAGTGCCTTAAACTGTGTCTGTCTTAATTATTAGGGTGTTAGAACATTAGCACATAAAATAAATAGAGCATCTGGTCATCAGTACAACTCTGACAAGAAAGACTGCTTGGAGCTAAAATTCTTTTTTCCCAAAGGACGGTTGTGCCAGCGAGAGCAGGAAGGGTGCCCAGATCCGTGGTGGCCCCAGCAGGGCTGGGTGGTCACTGGGGTGACTGGGGCAGGGCTGGCCTTGGCTTCTCCTGCTGTGTCCTCTGGTGGTGGCGAGGATTCCCGTCCAATTCTGTCTTTTGGCAACGGAGCACCAAGTTCCCAAAGCCTTCAGCTGCAATCCATGGGGCTACCTGAGATCTCCTCTCTCTTTCATGGTCAGGGCAAAGGCAGAGCTCATCAGCAGGAGGCACCTGCAAGAAATTGGAAGACAGATTAGGTGGGAGCAAGGGGGGACATTTGGAGCAAGAAAAACAGGGGTTCCTCAGGAGGCAGAGCCCTCAGCTGGGCTTGCCAAGCCACCAGACAGGTTTTTGTAACAGGGAGATATACAACTTTAATAAAAAGCAATCCATAGTAAGATGCTTATGGCTTTTCTGCTGTCTGGGAGAAGGGAAGGAGCGCTGCCCAATTTAAGGTATCTGCTTTGCAACAGCAGCTGGACAACAGGAGCTCTAATGGCTCTTCAAATAATATCAAGAAGCAGCTATGGGTCATTAGAAGATGGGGAATATGCAGACAGAGAAGGGACAGACAGACAAATTGATAGTTCTAAAAAGATAAGCAAATAAATAAGACAGCTGGGGAGACAGATACATTGTCCAGCATCCCCACATATGATTTATCTGAACAATAACATTTAATAAAAAACAATTTAAAGTCCTAATAACATTTAGGTTCACCTAATACAAAGAGCAATGACCTTCCCAGTATTCATTTCAGGTTAGAACAACATTTCTGCAATTTTGTTGTCTTTCCAGTAGAGCTATAAAAATTGTAAGTAATTACAAAACAAAATGACAAAGAACCGAAGCAGGGAGGGGGAAAAAGTCAAACCCTCTCTCAGGATTAGATTCAGAAGGGAGATCTCATCTGAGAAGGTGGGAGGCACATATCCAGAACAGAAATTTACCTTTGGATGATTCCCTTTCTATTTCTTTCCCCAACTTTTCTTTCACAATTGAGGCATATCTGCTTCAACAGCATGCTTAGCATTTCCTTTCTCATGAAGCTCAGTTACTAAAGCTCAGAAACTCCAGGTTAACAGATGCACTGATCCGTGTTCGGGGGCTTCACACCGCTCTGCTACCATCTCCCTTTCCCCCCTTTTTGCTTGAAAGATTGCTGATTGAGATGAATGAGTTCAGAAAAGAGAAGCTGTCTCTCATGCTCCATTGCCAGCTCGCAGCCTGCTATAGCTGCGTTGGACCTGAATAAACTCCCAGAAAAAGAATAGACTGGCTGCTATTTTTGTATTATGAGTAAATGTAGTAAAAATAATAAGCCAGTGTGACACAGTGTTTATAAGTCCTACTTACATCAGAGCTGTCTTTTCAGTTATAACAAGTCAGTTCCTAATTATTACATCAAACTGGTCATTGCCAAGTGCCTGATAACAGTAGAGAGTGAGAGACTCTGGTATTGTGTAGAAAACAAGCAGAGTAGTTTTAATGAGGACTCCAGCGCTGTTAAGTTTATGGATCTATTTTCACAGCCTCAACAATTATATCTTGCACTTGAATGGCTGTCAGGGAAAAACCCAGGTAGAAAGGATCTATAATATCTATTAGTGTCTTGTTATGCCGGCTAAATGTCACAGACTCCCAGGGAAGTGAAAATTTGCTGGAAAAAATGTATTTTCTGTCGGTCCATTAGCCAGGCAAGAGGGTTTGGGGTGAACTCTGTGGCTCAACACCCACTTAGCCAGTTCAGTCCCTTTGCAGAAAGAGTTGGAGTATTTCTCTGGAATGAGCCAACATACTGCAAACGGGGCAGAGAGGCTCCCCAAATTAAAGGTTTCACCCTGCTTGATTAAGTTTAGTTCTTAGAAAAATAAATCTTCACCTGATATTATTAAGAAACTGCAGTTCATGGGAACAAATAGAATCAATGCTCTTTGTTCTCTTTGAAGAGTACTCAGCACTCACTGGGGACTGATAGCCGGAGTATTAAAAACACAAAATTAGATTGTGTCTTGACTTAGCTGGCTCCGGGTTTTTTTCTTATTATTGGATTAACACCCTATTGAAATAAAGGGACAACGCTGAGCAACAACTGAGCTGCTCTCGGATTAAGAGCAGAAAGTAAACTCAATGAAGGAGTTTTTAATTTTCTCTCAGAAGTGTTGCTCTCCCCATGAACTCTCGGCTCTCCCCCCGCGCTCACGGAGCGGGAGTTGCTCTCTTTCCCACGCTGAGCATCCCTTCTCCGAGGCTGGGGACAGCGGGGCTGGGGACACCGAGGCGGGGGACAGCGGGGCTGGGGACAGGGAGGCGGGGGACACCGAGGATGGGGACACCGAGGGGGGGACAGCGAGACTGGGGACCGGGAGCCCGAACCCCGCGGCAGCGCTGCGCGGCTCCCAGCTGCAAACCTGGAAATCCCACTCGCATCCCGCCGCTCTCCCCGATGGATTCGCGGTTCCCGGCAAAACCCGATGCCGCTCCCCGCTCCGCCCCATCCTCCCCTCGCTTTCTTTTACAGTAAAGGACTTTTGGGGGGCTGCACGGGCTGGGGAGGGAATCGGCGGAGCTGGGGGAGCCGGCGCCCTGGGGCTGGGGGCTTCCCAAACTCCGAAGTGCGAAAATACACCCGACATCCCGCGGCGGGGAGACGGGGATGTTCCGAGGAGGGGGACAGAGAGCGGGACACCCCAGGAAAGCGTGGGAAGAGCTCGGGGGGACACGCAGCGATCGGGGCTGGGGCAGATGCCGGCGCCGCCCGCCCCCCCTCCGGCCCCGCTTTCCCCCATCCCCGGCGCCGCGGTTCTTACCGGGAGGGAGCTCTGCGGCGCGGGGCTCCCGGCGGAGCAGCCAACTTCGGGGCCGGGGGAACCCCCAAAACACACCCCCCAGCCCTGCCCTGCCCTGCCCTGCCCTGCCCAGCCCTGCCCTGCCCAGCGCGGCGGGCAGGAGCTGCGCCGCCGGCCCCCAAGGGCAGATGGCCGGGGGAGCTTTGTGCAATCCCGGCTCCCCTCGCAAGTTAATGCCGAGGCTGAAATCCCTTTTGCTCTCACTTTCAATCACAATCGGAGCTTTTATCTCCGTGCCTGATCCCGGCTGCGTAACTTCCTCTGTGCAGCTTTAGCACACACCATCCCACCGGCGGCAATGGGCTTCTTAAAGGTGCAGGAGGAAATGCAGGGGGGGAGGAGGAGGAGGAGGGAGGGAAAACCACCCGAGGAAGAGGAGGCTGCGAGCGGGAGCCTTCAGCCCCGGCGGCCCCGCGGCTCCCGGTGCAGCATCCGCGCCGTCCCGCTGCCCCCGGTTGGATAACGGCAGCCGGGAATGCCGCTCCTCGGGGCTTCTCTTTTATTTATTTTTTTTTTTTCCTTTAAGAGCTTAAAAAAAAAAATTAAAATCATGAGCTCATGTTTGCTCGAGAGAGAGAAAAAAAAAAACCTCCAGTCACGAGGGTTTCCCCACACGTGTAAGTCCTCCCTTGGTGTGCCCTGAATATTTTGGGGAGGCTTCCGCTGGTGAAGATGCTGTAAATGAGGCTGCGTGCGTGTGTGTTGGGGGAAGAGGGGGTGGTTGGAATTAATAGGATAAACAAAGTAGGAACTCGGAGATGGGGAAATCAGATGGCTGGGAAATGCTTGATACTGGTAGGAACGTGCTGTGAGGTTTAACCAAAGCAGGTTTTGCTTTGGAGAGGTGGGGGATGGACATGCTGGACTCTAAGGTGTGACAGCACCTTCCAGCACGGGGCTGGAGAAGCAGCTGGGGTTGCTTAGGTCAACTCTGTTGTGTCCATGCTGAGGGGCAGAGGGGACTCCAGGTGTGGAAAAGGTGGATAAAACTGTAGCAGGTAAAGGTCCAAGTTTTCCCTGCACCAGGCAGCTGCTGAAGACAGAACTCCTGAGCAGCGACAGGTTTTTGACACGTGGATAAATGACAGTTTCATGGATAAACGACAGTTCATTTATGGGGAGGAAATCCAAAGAATCACCACTGCCTCCTATGTATACAACCACCAAAAAACGACTGCTCCTTGCTAACAAAGAATTCAATAATTTCTAAGTCAGAAAATGCATTGTCCATCTTACACGTGGTTTGAACCTCATGCACTCAGTATTTTGTTATATGGTTTCCTCTGACCCGCTGCCCGGAGGCCTCTGGGTGGCCTCTCCCATACAAGAGTCCCTTGAAAACCCACAACTCATCCTGCAACCAGACAGAGGTGATTTAGAGCTCTTCTGGGAAACGTTTCCCATATTCTGGAGCATAAGTGAGATTTATGAAATGCTGGCATTGTGTCTTGACTGTGGCCCAGCCTAAACGCGACGCTGATGCACAGGGTGGTCTTTACCTGCAAGGATATCTTTGATTCTGGCTCAGTTTCCACTCCAGGACACGGTCTGATACTTTCCACATGGTAACTTCTTCTGTAAACACTTATTTTACAGCAGCAGTATAGCTTAAGTGAGAAGCACTGGCTGGGAATCCAGGGCTGGCTAATATTCCTGGATTTCACTTTGTGCCTTTAGGTCTGCTCTGTAGTAATGACTCCCCTGGAAATTCCCCACGTCTCACTTATTACTTCTTTATTAGTTATTATGGTACAGTAACAGGATAAAACGGAGTTGGTATTTCATTTTCATTCTCCCTAATAGCCACGGCAAAGACCAAGTGGCGTGCTGATTATTGACATCAGAGTTAAGTGATATGCACGCATCATTAGGTTTCAATTGGAAAGAATAACAGCACAGTGTGAGCCGTCACACTTCTAAACTCCGTGGCATTTAAGGAAAAACCAAAGTCGTTTTTCACAGCCCTGCTAGCTCAAAAGATCACAAGCTGGCAATAAAGCTTGTACACACACAGGTAAAAGGCGCTAGCTCCAGGCAAAGCACCGGAATTAACCAACGAGCACAACACCCCAGAGAGGCTGGCAACAGCTGTGGGGCTTGTCCAAGGTTACACCGCGATTCTGGAGATCCTTGGAGGATGGGAAATCACCCAGCTCCTCGCAGGTCTGGCTCTGAAGGTCCCGATGTGGGAAGGAGAGGGATTGTGTGTGTCACTCACAGACCCGGGAGCCCGAAAGAAGCGGCAAAGCAGCAGCAGTGATGCTGTCACAGGCTGGAGGCAATGGGGAAGAGTTGGAGCCGTTGTTTCATTTTAGACCATTTGCATTCTTTCACCCAAGCACGGTATAGTTTTCTCCTGTGGGGAGGAAAAATGGATTCCTTGAGGGGACATCTCTGCTCCCTCCCTCGTGCCGAGCGCTGCCTCCTCACACGAGGAGAGCCGGTTGAAAATCAATGGGTCTGCATGGAGGTTTAATTACTCCAGCATAGGCAGGGGTGGAGAATAAGGCCCTTAATATTTAATACAGCCTCTGCTCCCTGAGGGATCCCCAGGGCTCAAGGGCCAAATGTAAGCCCATTAAAATCAGGTGTAATTCTATTGACATATGTGGGCTCGCACCTGTTTATACCAGGGCTATGTCTGGCTCCCTGAATGGCAAATGGTGCTTTTGATATGCTTGGAAGGAGAGGGAAATGTTTTCCCGGATTGGGATGATAGAGGATGCCCTGGAACAACAGAAGGTAAACGTGACACCTGTCAGTCCCCACTCACTAACACCTCAGCTAAGCTGAGCCCGCTGAGAACGACCCAAGATCACTGCCAGAATAATAACCAGGATTATAAAGGATATTTCATTTGAGGATACCTATTGCTGTATCCCCTATAACAGCAATACATTCTTTTTATGCTCCTTATCTAGCAGTGTGCGGCCAAGGATATCAAAGTGCCTCCTGCAAGTGAGTAAGCATTTTATTAGGTGGGAACACACGGCTTGGAAATGTGCTCCAAGCCCTGGAGCAGGCAAGAGACCCCTTTGTGAAGGGTGATACCTGCCAAGCACAGATCTACCCCAACCTTGTTCCAGTGGTAGCTTTCTCCAGCCCACCAGCACCTCTGGGGAGAAGTTTGCCAGGAAAAGGGAGGAAGTGACTTAAAGGTGCTTTTGTTTGGGGTGTTACAGATGATGGAGGCGAAGGCTGCTTGAGCCTCGCACTTCCAGGGAGGATTTGTCTCATCTCATCACCCTTTTGTTCTAGCAAGCTGAATGTGAAGAAAGCTCCCAGCTTGATCAGGATGGGAAGGTTTGTGCTTCCCAGTTCCTCATGCTTGGTGCAATCACAGAGTTTTAGAAAGCGGAGAGGCATAATATTTTATAGTTAGGAGAAATGATGGAAAACCCACACAAAGCCTGAGAAACTGAGCTCTGGCACACGCAGGCCGGGAGGGTGGGTGGGGGACATTTATTTCCTGGTGGGTGGGGGACATTTATTTCCCCATCCTCCTGCCCAGGCTGCCCTGGCCTCGGGCAGACCCTGCCCTGCTCCGAGGCACACACAGACCCGTGGAGAAGGAGGAGGAAGAGCCGAATGCTTCAGTCCCTGGAGTACTCCACATTTTTCTTCCTTTGTGAAAGCTACTGGGGAAATGGCAGAGAGCATCTGCTCTGGGAGGGGAGGCTTCCCCGGCTGCCTCCTCCCACCCTCCCGCACAAGACCTCGGGATGCATTTTCTGCAGCTCAGCCGCTTTCGCAAGGCCCTGAGTGAATTTTGCCCTCCCTGATTAGATAACCAAAGGAGCAGTGACTGTACTCTCCAGAGAGAAGATGCTGTCTCTTCCCTGCCAGAAGGACAGCTGGAGGGAGGGTGGGATTTTCAGCATGCAAGCACTTAGCCAGATCAAGGAAATGGGATGCAAAGCATTTTAGGCTAAGAAAGGTTGTTGTGCAGGGAAACATGAGGCTGCTGTTCTGTTCGGGAGATAACGCTTCTCAAAACGCTCCTGCGTGCCAAACTGCAAGCCTCGACTACAGCAGGTCATTGCCTCTTTAAGGAAAACAAGCATGACAAGTCAGAAAAAAAACCCCATCACTGTCTGAGCTGAAAAACTTTGATCATTTAAATATTATTGATGCGCATTATCCCCAGCAGAGATGGGCTGGGTGATGGGAAGTGCTTCACCTTGACACAGGGAAAATATGTTGCTTTCTGCTGCCTTGTCTTTTGTTTCATATATCAAATAGGAGCCCAGCCAAGTGAATCAGCTCAGGAAGCATTTTGGATGTATTTGATTTTTTGGGGAAGGTAGAGCTTTCCTCCTCTTTACCAGCTGTGGGGGTGTAAGCATGGATAAAAACAGGAGGACTGTTTAAAGGAGGGATCTATAATTAACAACCCCTCAGAAGGGGAACTTTCCTTTTAACTTACTATTAAAGTGGAAGTGTTTGGAGAATATACAGTTTTGGCTCCGGGGATCTCCTCTGTATCCTTGGCTGAGCCCTGTGAATTCCTCTAATTCCTGCCTCAGAGAGTGTCTGGCTTTAAAAACAATTCCTGCTACCCCTTGGAGGACTCACCTCAATCCCTGGGTGGATTTCCGTGCTCAAGGAGGGCAGCAGAGGGAGAGGAGCTCCCTTCCCAGGGCAGGGCTGTGTTCCCCCAGCAGCCCCGAGCCCTGTCCTGGGAGGAGATGCCTTCCACAAAAGCTTTTTCACCTGAGGAAGAAACGTGTCATTTCTAATGGAGCTGACAGCAGCAGGGAGGGGTTTCAGATTAGTGGCTGAAGAACACACTTGTAATGAGTGAAGTAATTGAATAAATGCTGACAATTTGATGTGGAAAATGCATAATCAGCTGGCTGCAGAAGGTTGACTTGTTCTTTTTTCCTTCTTTCCTTTGCACTGGGATAAACATATTCATTTTCTCCCAAGCAGGTGATGTGTTCAGCAGCACAGAACCAGCAGACCCATGCACATGTCCCCCTCCCAGGCACTCATGTGCTGATTCTCAGGTAACTGACCCAGTTCTGCTAAGATGCTATTAAGAAATACATATGTAATAAATCTCAACATTGTATTTTTTGCTGGGTCATATGCTGGTTGAACACTCCCTTCAGTCGTTTGCTGGTTCCCAAATCACAATCCCTGTGCCCCTACTGGAGAAAAGGGTGCCAGTCATGGGTAGTGACAAATGAGGCCCAGCCCAGGTGGCAGCAAGAGCTGATCCTGCACTAATAACTGTGATTTCAACTGGCTTTTCAGGTCCCCTGCACAGCTAATAAACTGTGGAAGTAAACAGTAGAGCTGACATAATCCAATGCAGTGACTTTCCCTACCCAACCACCATCTCAGCTCTGTGCAGATGGAAGCTCAGTGAATTTCTTGTCATCAAGCCCCCAGTTTTAGCGTGACAATGGGAACAGCATCATCTGTGTCATGTATGTTGGAAGCAATGAATAGAGAGCTGAGCTCACTCATCTATTTGCATACTGAAGATATGGAAAAAACTCCT